TAAGGATAACCCTTGATTGTTAAGCCAATCACTTAAATAAGTTAGTGCAGAGTTAGCCTTATCAGCAGCATCAATTAATGAAGATGAAATGGAGTACAGGGCTATGTCATCAGCGTATTGTAAAATATTACAAAAGGGGGAAACAGAGTGTTCAAGATCATAGGTGTATACGTTATATAACAAGGGGCTAAGTACGGAGCCCTGGGGTAACCCCTTCCATACTAATCTAGGTGGTTGAATGGATCCATCAACGCGCACAGAAATAGAACGGCCACTGTATAGATTAAAAATGAAATTTACCAGTCTCACTGGGATACTCAGTTGGAGCATTTTCTGCCTGAGTATTGGAATCTGGACATTATCATAGGCCGATTGCACATCCAGAAAGACTCGAACAACATGTTGATTTTCACTGAAAGCTAGACGAATTCTGGAAACTAAGACACTTAAACTATCCAATGTTCCCATACCCCGTCTGAAACCAAATTGATTATTGGATAGTATTCCCCTGTTTTCTAGGATCCACTCTAAACGGTTTTTGACTAAATGTTCCATGATTTTACATAAAGTAGAGGAGAGAGCTATGGGGCGATAAGATGAGGCTTCATCTGGGTCTTTGCCTGGTTTGAGAATAGGAATGATGATTTGAGTTTTCCATGAGTCAGGAATATTACGGGATAAGAAAACAGTGTTAATGATATTAAGGAAGAAAAGCTGAGTAAATTTGTTAGACTTAATAATAAAGGAGTAAGGAATTCCATCTATTCCGGGTGAGGAGTCATGGAGGTGGTCTAAGGCACAAAGAAGTTCAGGGTAGGAAAATTCATCATTCATTTTATCAGGGTAGATAAAAGAATGAGAATAATCCATAGGGAAACAGTCACGGAATGGAACGTAGGGGGGTGATAAATTATTAATGAAGGTTGATAGCCATCTCTCTGTTTGATAAGTACTTGAGTTATTATTAGTATCACAAGACCTGCGGTAGGATTTAATACGTTTCCAAACGAAGGAAGGGGCAGTTCGAGGCGCCAAAGATTCACAAAACCTCTGCCAACCTAGAGTTTTCTTTTTGCTAAGAAGTCTCTTAGTTTGTGCACAGGCTTTTTGATACTGTAAATAATTACCTATTGTGAGATCAGCTAAGTATTTGCGTTCAGCGTCGTTGCGGAACCGCACACTGTTAGTACAATCCCTATCCCACCAGGGAGGGGAAGGAAGGCATTTGCGAGCAGTATTCTTTAAGAGAATAGATTGGTCAGGAGAACTTAGCAAAGAAGACACAAAGTAGTCATAAGTATAATTAAAATTAGTATGGAATAGGGATGAATTGGGGGAAAGAGAGGACAGCTTTTGATCCACTAAAAGAGAAAATTTGTTCCAGTCAGCTAAATTAAGTCTGTACTTCAACAGAGGGTCATATTTGATTGTTGGAACAACAACTTCAAATAGGTTTAAAACAATGGGGAAGTTATCACTTCCATAGGAATTAGCCAGGACCATCCAGTTAATAGAAGATAACAGAACAGTTGAGCAGATAGACAAATCTATGGCAGAAGCATTTTGTAGTGGTGATACTCTCCTTGTAGGTGACCCATCATTTAATAGAACCAGATTTAAATTGTCTAGCATATCTATAATAAAATGTGATGAGGGATCACAAACATGGGAACCCCACAAAGTATTTTTGCAATTAAAATCTCCTAACACTAGAAGAGGAGCTGGAATGGAGGAAAGAATAGAGCTAATATTAGAAATGATATTAGGATTGGGATGGGGAATATAAATGGAAACAAAAGATATGCCACTAACTCTAGACGCAACAATGTGGAAATCTGAAGGATGAGAGAGAATATGGAGCCTTGTAAAGGGTACTGATCTCTTAATAAATAAAGCACACCCAGCCCAACCATCATCTCTATTATCCCGCAAGGATGAGTACCCTGGAATCCTAAAATTGGAGCCAGGTCTCAACCAAGTCTCTGCAATAGCACACACAACAGGATCATATTTGTTTAATAGAAATATTAAATCAGCCTTCTTATAACGCACATTTCTACAATTCCATTGAAGGGTGTTGAATGTCACGGTTTTTTTTATGATTGTATCTAGGAGCTGTTCTAATAAAGGCAAGACATTGTTCGGTAGTGAGTCACTAAATTTTGAAACCATGTTTATCAGACTACATGTGAGTAACTCAATCAGATTATCATTAGGAGTAACGTGTGGAGTAGGGCTAACACTAAGAGCACTGCCGTTAGGTTGAGAGGATTTGGGAGTTCTAATAACTTCTAGGTGGGCGCGTTTATCATAAGATGGGCTTAGAGGTGATCTAGGACGAGGATGCTGAGGAAGAGATTTATGACTAAAATATGAGGACCTATGTTGGGATGGAGAGGGTTCATAGGTCAAGGTTTGTTGTGGAGGGAGAGGACAGTGAAAATTTGCGGGAGTAGGAATATTTGACTGAGAGAGGAAGGACCAAGAGAATTTCTTGGAGAGGAGCAAAGTACATCAGCAAATGACTGTCTAGAGACAGGGAAGCGGCTTGATGCTTCAGAATAACTAATATTCTCTAGAGACATTATGTGTTTAATGTTCTTCTGTCGTGTATGTTCTGGACATGTAGGATCTGTGGCTTTGTGATGCCCTCTGCAGAGAAGACACAAAGCATCAGATACCGTACAGGAGTCTCCAGGGTGTTGTTGCGCACATTTAAAGCATCTAGATTTAGATCTGCATTGGGCACGAACATGTCCAAATCTACAGCAATTATCCCACTGTATGGTAGGAAGTTGATAAACAGAAACTGGAAGTGAAGCATGAAAACAGTAAACTTTCTCAGGGAGGGTTTGACCTAGAAAGGTCAACACTACTGTGGTGGATGGTTCCCAAGTTGGCTTAGGATTATTATTAAGGCGATTTTTAATATAAATTCGTCTGGCCTTTATCACAAGTCCATAATTGGAGGGACACTGTAGACCAGAAACCAACTCTTCGAGGGTCCAGTCCAAAGGTATTTGACGGACAACACCCATTCGAGAAACTAAAAACTTTGGGACTTCTGCAGAGAAGTTATTTTTGAGTAACATTGGTTTCTGGATAAATGAGTTAGCTTCTATATAATTTTCGAATTGGACAGAAATTTTATTGCGACCTAATACCTTGATACCATCACAAACAATACCAGTAACCTTGTTTTTATGCAATAGCTGAGCAAAGTTAAGAATTTTAATAGAGAGCCCTTCAGAAGAATGAGCTTCAATACGAGACACATGGACAGTGAAAGGACCTTGGCTAAATTCATCATACCTAATTTTCTTATCAGGTTCAAAACCAGGCCTGGTATATGAATCCTGAATAGAAGCAGATGGAGTTATATTTTTCTTTGGGATACTGGCGATTTCTGTATCCGCTGATCTTTTCAGAGGACGACTAGATGAAGCACATTGACCAGTAATAGGGACCGACATGTCTAGATCAGAGGACAAGACCCCACCTCCACCAGGAGGAGGATCATCATCTCCTGCATCACACATCGTACTTGAAAACGATTACATATAATACAATAACACTTACCCACTAATAATAATAATATAAAACCACAACCACAAAACACAACTGAAATATTTGATTATAAATTACAGAAAATAAACTTAAGCACGTGGGTACGTCAAAAACCTACAACCGCTCAAGTCGATCTCCTATTTATTAGATTAAGATAAATTGAATAATACTTCAAGCTACTTAGGATATTTTTTCCTGTAATTCTACATGTAAGGTGTTAAAATAAATAAATGATATCATTTATTTTATTAATGTATTGCAACAAATATTACAATTTTCTAGTAGGTGCCCCTCTTCACCATTGAGAAATGTTAATAATGTATATGCTTTAATTTCGAATTTATATAATTTAATGGGATACTTTACAACGATAATCTATTTAATTGCATATTCTGTGTTACAAATAAATAGGTGCATCGTACCATGAGTATCTATGTAGATAATTTATCTACAAAAACTATACTACATTTATGCTCAATTTCAGAAGTGTAACACTAAGGCCAATCTTCCATGACATTATTCACTGTATGCCATGTAAGCCCAGTACCCATTGGACGATGCGCTGAGGGTAATAAAATGTGCATAATAAAAGTTCTCCCTTGTACCAATCCAAGAAATATTTTCCAATTTTTTCTTCTACCAAAATTATATGGATTTCTGAAAGACACTTTATGGGAGGCATGCAGCTTGGCATTTATATGAGCTTCAACACTTGTTTCTCCTCTACTTATATTTTTTCCATGCCATAGGACCAAAGTGCCTAATGCAAAAAATACAGATATACAGGTTACAACCATAAAGATTACAGCTTTTCTTTTCCATGGATTAGCACCAATAAGTTGTAGTTCCGATACAACAGGAATTGGCAAGTCATGTTCTCTAGGAAAGTTTATTGAATCATACTCCACAATTTCTTTAACAGGAATTAATGCTCCCGTTTGATTTATGCGAACTGGATGTCCTATTAGTTCAGGATCTTTGTTTGGAGTATAGTCACCTAAAAGAAACAAATAAGAAGTTGTTAATATTACATTTCACTACAAATAACCTAATTTATCAAGCTTATTATTTCTATCACTGTTTGTTTAATATGTATAATAAACAATAAATGTATATTTATTTATTTTGGTATTCAACAATAATGAGTGAATAATAATTTTCAGAAGAATATATAACATTCATATAACTTACTTGTGTCATTTAACCATAGTACTTGGAATCCTATTTCAAACCCAAAAATAATTAAAAATGCTACACCAGCCACCATGTATGTCATATAAAGGTAGAAGTGTCTAGCATTGAAATATCCAACACAGTTATTAAGCCATGGACAATGATGATCCATTGCAAGTATACATCGATCACATACAGAACAGTGATGGGTACGCGGAGGCTTAGGTGAAATACATTTTTTACAAATACTTGCAGCTTCAGAGATAGTTGTTCCCTGGAATTTTACATACAATTATAAATAAATTACATACAATTAACATATAATACAAATAAAAATTAAGGAAATACAAAAGTGACTATTATATTATATGACATATTGGCTAACACTGAAGGTTTTTAGAAAATATTAAAATGCCCTAATGGAGAAAGTTACTAATACTTTTATTGTAGAATTAAGTAGTCTTCTTCCCACTCTATACATCTTTATATTCAATGGAACTACTACGAAGAGCTGTGGGGCAATTATTCTTTAGGGGTTTCTTACATTTCATCTACCAATAATCTTTTTAAATCTACCATAGTATAATAATGTGGTTCCTCTAAATTAACCTCTTGAAATAGTTTGGGATTAATTAATATTCCTAGGGATTAATATTATTAATGTAATTTTTTCTTTTTCAAAAAAAAATAATAAATTTTATAACTGTTAAAGCTGTTAATAGACTTGCACATTTACTGAGATTTTGGTGTAGAAGCATATACACCACCCCAAAAACGAGTTTACTAACTAGTCTTATTTATTAAGATATAAATGAAAGGTTAATATCTTACATGAGGAGGATATCCAGGAGATGTAACTACACCCATGTAATAATGAAATACTATGTTAATCAATAGCCAATTTCCAAGAAAAACTAGAAAAATTGTGAAATATGAATTATGCTGCCACCAAAATGGTAATCCAATCCAATATGCAATGATGACTACAGCTGCAGTCAAAACAGTCACACAGAAAACAAAAACCTGAAATACATTTTATTATAAGCACGCAATATACAGTACTAACCATTTTTAAATATGAACGTGATCCACTTTGACTTTACAAACAAAATGTGTCTATAAATAAAACAATGCAAAATCCTCATTCTGTAAGAAAAACCTGGACTATTATTTTTTTTTATGTGAAAAGTTGCCAAAGAGCAGACTGTGAGGTCGTGGTACTTACCCAGAGTGCTGCATGGCCCTACCACCGTTAAAAATTTGTACCCAGTGTTAAAACTATTCATTACAGCACAACATTATTACTCATTGTTAAGAAAACATTTTGAAGGATAATAAGTAAAACCTAGTTTAAATTTAACAGCTATTTATATAAAGTAAATTTGATCATTAGATATTTAATCATACTAGTGGACAAGCTCAGTGGTCAAAATTTGACCATAATTAATTTTACTTGGTTGTGTATTATTTATTTTTATTGATTTAATGTATTTTCATACAAAATTTTATACAAATATTAGCATTCTGCACTTCTTCTTTATATATACTGTAAGTGTGCGGAATTTCCTACTTCTCCATCTGGATATTTTCTTAAAAAGGGGTACAAAGTTTTCCTTTTCACATATTATTATATAGACAGAGAAGTGTGGGCAGCCCACTAGCCCAGTGGTCCAATGATTAGAAAAACATTAGAGGGGTATGCCCAACGGTGGGTGAACACATGCTGAAGAAGAAGAAGAAGAATATTACATACAACAAAACATAAATCTCATATGCTTTACCTTCCCCAAGTAACTGGCAAAGTTGTCTACAACCCAAAATATTGGTTCTAGTAAAAAATCAACAGCATAACTTTGACTCATATGTTCATTGTAGGTCAATGACTGTATTGTTAATTTTATTTGTGCTAGTTTCCAAGTAATATATTTTCTAGAACAAAAAAAAGGTTAGTAAGACTTTAGTCTCTTTCAATTTTTGCGTGGTTGTTTGAACGTTTGAAATGTTGGCTTACTTTATTTTTTGAAGAAGGCCACTGCATTGAAATCGCCATTTAATGTTAGCCATAATAAAATTTTAATAATTAGATTAATACGTTTTTGTTACAGTACTACAATCGCAGTCTTCTTGAAATTAGAACAAATAAATTATTACTTCGTTTTAATTAAGGCACAGAAAGTGCTTTCTTTTTAATAATACCAATACTCATTTTATTCGTTATTAATTTGAACGCGATATATTACTAAAACTCCACCGAATAAAACCTTCTATAAATAAATTAAGAAAACTAATATTTTTTTATAGTATGGAAAAGGTTTTGTTTGGTTAAAAGTATGCCTGTATTCATTTATGAGTTAAAATTTATAAATATTTAAATATCGAATAAACGTAAACAAAATCACAAATAACAGGTGACAGCAGACGACAGTTAAATTAAAGACAAGGTTGGATTTAGGACTTAGGTGCGGTAAAAAAGATAGTACAAAAAATTTTAAATGATAGTTTTGGCCAAAAAAATATAGTACACTATTATTTTCATAATTAATCCACAAAGAATAATTATTTTACTCAGAAACTCGCAGAAAATTGTTATCACTTTTAATTTTGAATAAGAATGGAATGGCCGTACTTTAAAAATAATAAATTAATCGTACCATTAAACAATTATGAACTCTATAACTTACACCATTGAGTACAATTTGCAAAGTGATTGTTTAAGAAAGTGAAGTATCGAAAAATAAAGTACCATTCACAGTAAGTCCCCGTTAATTGTTCATCGATGACAACTATTTATAATCTATGGTAATAATAGATATTTATTTAGGTGGTAAAACAGCTTTTGTTCGATAGAATTACAACGTGATTACAACCCAAAGAACTTCCTTTAATGTTGGATAGGCAGTGAATGGTATAATATTGGTCATTTAGGTAAAGTAATGAAATTATAGTATGTTTTCGTTTCGTATATAGTGAAAAGCATGAAATTATAGTAAAAATACTATACTATAATTATACAAAGTCCTATCCTGATTAAAAATATATTTGACACTTGTAGGTATGGCGAAAAACTATTCATATATCAATATTTTAAAGGATAATTTTGATCCGATATTTATTTCATCATCTTATACATACGAACGTACGATACGTTAGTAAGTGCAAAGTCTTTGACTGTAGGTATTTAAACTACAATTTCATGCTTCGTACTCTATATTATCCATAATGTCTAGGGTACAACATGGTAGAGAGGTGTTAAAAATCATTACTATTTTTGCTTTTTTTTTTAATTAGACATTGCCCTCACTTTATGATAACATTATCATGTGTTGTAAGGAAGTTTTACAAACATAAATTTCACATAGACCAAAAACAAACAGATGCGAATACAGTCTTACATGTTAAGCTAATTTATAAAAAGCATGCGAAATATTAATGGCATCAACTTAAGTTATTTCATTATAAACAAATTCTCAATAAACACATGTTACTTTTATAATATAATATCAAGTTTTAATAAAAAAATATTATAATTTACCATTCATTATTCAGCATTTTCATGTCAATCAAATAACTATTATGAAACTTTGCCGATATAGGCGTATTTTTTAAAATAAGTCTTTACAGGTACCTGTTTGACTTCTTTTTAAACAATTCTTTAAGTTCTTTTACAAAAGTTAACTACATGTTTTATATAAATTATATTTTGATTCGATTCAGGGCTAAAGAAACTGATTTATCTTAGTACATAAACTATTTTGCTTTTTTCCAATGAAGGTCTTGGTCAATAATATACCTAGAAATTTAGATGAATACAAAAAAATATTTTATGGAATGAATACGATTAATAACGTTTTATTAAGATTTCTCATACAATAAAATAATGTGGTTTTGGTATAAAATTACAATTAATGACAAAATACATTATTTTTTCAAAAACCGAAAATATGACCGATATATTGATATTTTTGTAAATATCGATACATTTCTTCACATTCGAATTCCCTAGTATATTTTCTCAATTTATTTTTATTGTAATCTGTAGCTGTTGTCTGTTTTGTTTTTCGATGAATTAGGATTGTCATTCACGTTTCACGCAGACAGGGTTTCATCTGGCGCTTTTGTACTGTAAAATTCTTTTAACAAAAGTCTAGTAAAATAATAAAAACTTTGTTTCAATTTAATTACAATTTTATATACCTACTGAAATATACAAAATTATTTAAGATAAATCGTGATTTGCGGCACTGACTATAATGACTAGAGATGTAACCTGTGAAAAAACCGATTGTTGATCCAATTATCATTATAGACATCCTATGGTTTTACCGTGTACGTGACAAAAGACAACGGAAATATGTGACAAGTAAGCAAGCACTTCACCAACATATTTTAGATATAGTTGACGAGGCGACTCGAAAAACCTATAATCCAAACCCTTGGGTTCTGGCCCACCGGTTTTGCGGTCGATGAAGCTTTAATACTCTATGAACAGAAAGAGTAACATCAGTTATTAAAAAAAACTTATAATTTGTGGACATTAAGAAAGCCTGAATATTACAGAGCAAAATTAAGCAAACTCTGATGAAGGAAAAGTATTCTGCTCGACAGGAAGGCCCAATATGGGATCCGGTTGTTGGCATACGAATCACGAATAGTGGCACAAATATCAACGTACTTACTTACATCCATCATTCAGGAATGACTTGAGACAAACAGAAAATATACTGTCTGCCAAAGAGCTAGTGCGGCGAGAACTTGCGTGAAAATTAATAAAAGAGACCCAGCCCCCCGTCCCAACGTCATCTACAGCTAAAAATCAGGAGCTGAATGATAAAACTAGCGCGGACTTGATTTCTTACAAATTCATAAGACAGACATCCCAAGTGCAACAGCATCTACGTTAAACATTGTTCTAATTTATTTGGAAACGGATGCTGATAAAGTAAGGACAGAAGACGAGACGCCGACATCTTTTCGGCTATTAATATGAACTTACTGCCTTTAACTAAAATTGCGTTTAAATAATTATCGGTGCCGGCGATTTCTGTACCTTCTCTAGGTACGTCTATAACTAGTGCACTATAACTTTATTTACAAATACTATCCTTTAAAATTTTTTGTACTATCTTTTTCACCATACCTCAAATGCAACCCTGAGCACAAGCAAATCGTACATAGGCAAGGAGTCAATGCTCGGTTTTTTTTTTGGTAAATTGAAAGAAAACAATGTTCTGGTATAAAAAAAAAAAGGTAAAACAATAAGTGTGTAAACAGTCGAGACACGAAACACAGCTTTCTGTTTCGTATCCGCTCCATTACTGACTGAGCTATATATATATATATATATAAATATATGTAAAGAAAAATATTATTTTAAAAACTATGGTTGACGCCGGATTATAACAGAAAAAGAATTAAGCTGTCATATGACACAATTCATCAAAATAATTTTATGACAAAAATACTTAATAAGTAAAAAAGGTGATTTAGGAATCGAAATTTTGATTAATAACATTAAATGTCGTTTTTTTACTTACAGAGAAACTCAATTGTGTTTTGATTGCTGTGTCATCCAAATCACTGAAAAATATTATCTTATAAAACGACATTTTCTGTAAAAAAATGGAAAAGTTGAAATTTACTTTTCAAGCAAAGCCAGCAGCAGATCAAAATTCGAATTATATTGCCATAACCTCAGTTGCCAGACAAGATGACAAAGTTTTCCTGATTCCTGAGGAGTATCAAGCAGTATCACTTCACAAGCATATCCAAACTTCTAAAGCTTTCGTTACAGTAAAAATATGTTAAAAAAAGACATCAAACTAGAAGTGTATGGATAAAAATGACAGAGGATATATTAAAAACATACTTTGATGAAGATGATAACATGATTTTTCAGGATCAATTCCTTGAGGAAATAACTCCAGAACAAACGGCTATTGTCAATATAAATGATTCGGAAAATCCTATAGTCAAAATTTTGGGAAAATTAATTGAAGGCCAACAAAGCAAAGAAAAACATCTATAGAAAAGTTAGCCGACAGGTTTGTGATTGAAAAATTTGATGGAGAACAGGTAAGTGTATATCACTGGATGGAAATATTTGAAAAAGAATGTGCAAGGTTTGATATAGTAAAAGTCAGTAAATTACCAACCCGACACAAACAGCAAATTACCAACCCGACACAAACAGCAAATTACCAACCCGACACAAACGCGAACGTCAACAAACGTCGCCCGCGAAATGTCCTAATCGACCCGGTCGAGGAAGGGGACTTAGACACGCCGGACCCACCGCCGGGGGTCCCGCCGGACAACACTACACCCACAGTTAGTGCAACAACAAACACACTAGTTCGCCCTCGCCTCCGAGCACGGCGAGACCAACACAACGCGTACACAAGGTACACCCGCGTTCCGGGGCGGTTCTCACCGCCCCCAGCCACCGATTAGCTAATTGCACAGTCGACGGCCATCGGGGTTCCGGTCCGAACCACGACCTCGATGGCCCTTAGATGACACACCATAGTTAAACGCACGCATGAGCACATGCGTGGCCCTACGCACAGCGGAGGGCCCAAACCCGTGGGTTCTGGCTAGCCCACCGGTTCTGCGTCAGATGAAGCTTTAATAGTCTCGGGACTGAAAGCAAAAACATCAGTTAATACAAGATATAGTAAAAGATGAATAAAAAATTGAAATCTTCAGGCTGTTTCTAGAAAAATCATGCACTGATTGGTATTCTTCCATGATGATTAAGCTTAGTTTACAATCAGAGTGGTTGGAATGGAAATCAAACTTTTTGCAAACCTACGCTAATAAAGGTGGGACTACTAGAAGGTACGCTTTATTTTTCAAGTATCAATCCGGATCTTTATTAGAATATGCTATGAAAAAAGAAAAACTTATGCTTGAAGTAAGAAAAAAAATTGATGAAGGCACCCTTATTGATGTAATTGCTGCGGGCTTACCAGATTTTATAACGGATAGGATCAACAAGGAAGATATTGTACAAACAAAAGACTTATTCAATTAACTCGGCAAACTAGAACATTTGGTTACAAAGA